CCGCCCCGAGCCTCCTGTTGCTGGACTACGACGGGTCGGTGCTGCCCTTCCTCGGGGGTCTGGGCGGGGGCTACCAGCGGACCCTCGTGCTGCTCACCTGGATCCCCGCGCTGTTCATCGGCTTCAGCCAGTTCTCGGACTCTTTCCTCCTGGACCAGCCCAACTTCTCGTGCCGCGGGGCCGGCAAAGGCTCCGAGCTGGCAGGGGCCACCGTGACCGGCCACTGGGGCGACCTGGGCAACTGGACCAGCCCCCCGACCACCCCCTTCTCCACTGCCGCCTGGGGGGCCCCGGGCAACGGAAGCGACAGCAGCGGCGCGGACGGGGGCGACACGCCACCCCTCCCGTCCCCTCCAGACGAGGGGGACAACGCCTCCAACTGCGACTGCCACGAGTGGGACTACGGCATCCGCACCGGCCTCGTCCAGAACGTGGTCACCAAGGTGAGGGCTGCGAGCGCCCCATGCCCCGCCCGTCCTTCTCAGGAGCCTTGTGCCCTCCTCTTTCGCCCCCACCTTCCCTCCCGCCCTCTCCTGCAAACCCGGGTTCCAGCCAGAGCCAGAAGGGACCGGCGCTAGCCTGTGTTTACGTGAGCCCCATCCCACACATACTGCATCCCCTGTCCCGCGGTCAGATGCAGGCACTGGGGCTGGAGCCGTGACACTGCGCCCTGCGTCCTGCGGGCACCTCAGCTGTCCTGACCCACGCTCCCACTCCTGTCCGGCGTCCCTCCCCCATGCTGCCCACCCAGCAGGTGAGGCCCTGCCCTGTCCCCAGCTCCCCAGGACTCGCCCCATTCAAGGATTCAAGGTCTGCCTGTTGGTCGGAGCCAGGATCCGGGCTGTGTTCTCACGGGTCAGCTGTCCCCACATCTCCCACAAAGAAATCCATGAAAAATAGTGTCCTGTCCTCACAGGTTCCTCTACCTGGTGACCTTAGCCACCCCACACTGGGTTTGGACAGAGACTATACAACCCACAAAACAGCAGAAGTTACAGCCAGAGGGCAAAGGGTTTTTGAAAATTCCCTTCTGCCCCCACCGAAGGCTCCGCACCCCTGTCGCGTTTAGTCCTCTCCAAAGACCCTTTTGACTTTGCCACCCAAGGGTGCCCTCCAGTGCCTTCTCAGGACTTTAGTAGATGCGCTGGGGTATAGGAAGGGTGCTGGGAAGAGTCCAGGGCCACTCTGTTCTTGCACAGCAGCCGCTTTGGGCTGAGGAATGGAGGCCGGCAAGATTTTCCCGGCCTCCACTTGCTCTTGAGCCGGGTGGCTCCCTTTGCAGAGCTGTGGCACTGTGTGCTGCAGTATTGGTGAGACGCTGTCGGCCTAAAAACAGACAGGCCGCGCTGCCAAGCTGTTGCCCTCAAGGTCTAAGTGTTCTGATTTTCTTCACACAGGAGAGGTGATATGCCAACTCATCATGTTATTTGTGCGCCGATTTTTGTGGGGATTTTTTTTGCCCCTTGTGTAATTTTAAATAATGCAGAAGGAAATGTAGACTCCCCCAGCCCCGACGGCTGGAGAGTTCTGGGCAGTGTTAAATGCTTTGTCTCCATGTGAGGATGGAACCTACAGCTTATCGTGCTCAATGGGCATGCACCACCCTCCCCCCACGCGTGTTAGTAAACAGCTGTAGTCATGGATGTGTAAGACGAAACTCTTACATCATCACAGCCGTTGTCTCAGTTTTGTACCAACCAGGCCAGAAAGCAGTGTCCTGTGGGACGGCCTCGCCCAGCTGTCCCGGCTGCACTGCTGGGTGATGGGAGATGTCTGGGATCGCCTTGACCCCCGCTCCCCATAGCATCTCCCTTCCAAAGGTTTTTCTGTGACTGATTCCCATTTATAGAAAGCATGAATATTTCTTTTTCTTTTTTTTTCTCTCTCTCTCTCTTTTTTTTTTTTGCTTAGCACCACACAAAAATTCAGAACAATGACTGTGTCACCATGTGTATCTGTCAGATTTGGGATTTGGCAACATTTTCAAGTATTTTAAGTGCCTTTCTAGAGCAGAGGGAGAAGAAAGGATCAAAGGAGTGTGTAGAGAGTGCTTTGTCCTAGGGTCACAAAAGGAGCTATTTGAAAGTGAGGAGGTGGAGAAGAGTGTGTTACCTTCGCTGTGGGGACCAGGAAACAGCTACTGTACTCTGCCAAGCATTGTGGGAAGAGAGAACAAAAATAGTTCCTGAAAATGAACTACATTGGAAAGCTGGGCACTTTGAAAATCAGCACCAAGAGGGTCCCGAGCAGCCCGGATGTGCGTGGATCCTCTGGGTTGCTGGACAACAAGTGGCCCTGGGAACCATAATAAGGTGCGTTTGCTCATGAAGACTAGAAAGGACATATTGATTTCCATGGACAAATGCAGTTCTAAATAAAAGTCTGTCCTTCCATAGTGTGCTGTAACCAATGCTTTAAAGAGCTTCTTAAAGCACATTTCAGCACCGAGGCAGACGTTTTCTGCTTGTGGTGGTGTTCATAGGACAAGGCCCAGGTGCGGATGTGGAAAGGGTTCTGTGAGGGATACGGGGTCCCAGGGTCAGGCGCCTGGCAGCCTTATTGGCAAGGGGAGGCAGAAGTCGGGGAGGGTTTGGCCTCTGTGGCTGGATGAGAGTTGAGGGTCAGAGAAGCTGGCACTTGTCCCCTTTTCCCATTCCGTACCACGACGTCCCTGGTGAATGAGCGCAGCAGTGCCATTATCTTTCAACCCAGTTTTGGCCGGTGGACAAGATGCAGCACAATATGCCCTTCCCTGCTCCTAGGTGTCAAGTGGGGATGGAGAGATGGAGATCTGAGTCAGGGACAGTGCCCACCCTCTGTCTCCTTCCGGGTCAGGTCGTGAGCCAGAGGGAGTCCCAGGTTGCCACAGGTGAAGGACCTGAGAGCAGCCAAGCTCCTCGCTCTGCCTCTGTCCCTGACCCACAGCTCATGCCTTCCTCAGAGCCGTCCATCTTGGGCAGCCCGTCAGCTCTTCTTAGTAGAGTCGTGTGTTTTTGGTGAAGAAGACTCGGGTTCTCTCGTGCCTGTTTGTACTGATTGCTCCTCAGAGTGATTGATTTTCTTTTCTTCATAGAATGCTTTTTTGATAGCTTCTTTCCTGGATGAAAAATGTCCACCTATTTCAGCCACCCAGTGTACGCGGCCAGGCTGCATCAGTCTCTTAAGCACAGTTTGGAATCAGCCAGCAGGCCTGAGGAGCCCCCTAGAGGGTGGAAGGATGGGTGCCCCTCGCCTCCCCTCACAGAACCTGCAGGGGTTTTGTAGATGCGCCATCGCCATCCCAAGGTCAAGGTCCTGAGGCCACCAATTCACTTTCATGAGGTCGCAGAGTAGAGATGATTCTGCCTGGGTGCATGTGGTGTGCTGCTCAACTTCAGGGCCATCTGAATCATTTGGAGAAGTAAATCTCTCGTTGGCATCCTCCTTCCTTCATTCCTTCCTTCCTTCCTTCCTTCCTTCCTTCCTTCCTTCCTTCCTTCCTCTCTCCCTCTCTCTCTTTCTCTCTCTTCTCTTGCTTTGGTCCCAATTTTTTTAATCTGTATGAGAATTTGCATGGCAGAACCAACAATGCCTTTAAAATAAATAACAGCAGCAATAATAATATCCCCTCTCTTTGGTTCAGGCTTACATAGTTTTTGAAACATTTTTGTCATGAACTACTTCCTTTAAGAATAATAACGCAAGGTCGGTCCTCACACAGGGCCATATCCCTGATTATGAATCAGTGAACGCCGATTTGAGCGGGCCGCGTTTTTAACACAGGACCCAGATATCCAACTTCCTAGTGACTCTCCCGGCTCCCTGCTGTTGGCTTTTCACCTCTGGGGAAAGGTGCTGTCCACGTCTTCCAGAGGGGAGTCAGGCTCGAGCCACCATCGCATAGAAAGCAGCCTCTGTGGACCCAAGGACAGCGGGTCTGGACTCTGGCTACTGGCTTCCTGTCTCCGTGCTGCAGTCCCATGCAAACCTACTCTCAGGCACTTCTGAGATTTTCGTTTTTCAAAAGGTTTTAAAAGAGCGCCACAGATTTAAATGTGTTGCTCGTTTGACTTCACATGGTTTGTTCTGCATCATCTAGAGTGAGTCTTTGTTGATTCTGACCCTCGCTCTGCTCTTGCATGATCTCTAGGCTCTGCCAGGGATCAACGCCAACCACCTGCCCAAGGCCCACTTCTCCACATCTGAAGTTAGATGGTTTTCATCTTTAATCTGCTGATTTTTCTTCTATTCTCAGGAGTTTGTAAAGATTTCTGACCTTTATCCTGAAAGTTGTTTAATATGCTGGGAAGTAATTTGTATCCTTTTTCTAACAGTTATTTAATGTGACTTCAGTACAATTTAATTAAGACTAAAAATAATTACTATCATTGCAATGGTAATATTTTTTTAAATAGCCCACGATGCTACTGTCCCTGCCTAATAACCAGATTTCACTTTTGAAATGCTTTGCACATATATATATTTTTATATAGTCAACCAAAGTGTTCAAGGCAGAGTGGAATCTGCTTCGAATGGATGCCACACTAAAAACATTTGTCCGAGTCCTCAGAAGGATTGTCAGTGTTTGATATTTTTGTGGATTTACTAAAATTTCTTAAAGTCTTTTCCTAATGCTCACCAAGTGCCATTAGATTGCTGTGTCTGGTGTAGGTAACTCAGCAGCGGACATCTTTGTGCAACTCTGTTTTTAAAAACTTATCATAACAGATAATGTGTGTGCGTGGTTCAGAGTATGCAAGGTGAGCAGGACAGGGCTTGCTCTGCCTCCACTTTCCTCTTCAGAAGCAACCAGGGTTACCAGTTTCTCACGTGTACTTTCCAGAATATTTTATCCTCATTTATATATTTTCTTTTTATAAATAGTAGCATACTACATGCATTGTTATTTGCTTTTTTCACCTGTGACAGCGAGGGATGGATGTAAATGTAGAGAGAAGCCCTCATTCTTTTTTATGTCTGTGTAATATTCCACTGCCTGGGCTATAATTTATTTAGCTAGTTATCTACTAAGAAGGCATTATGGTTGTTTCTACTCTTATATATATACATACATATATATATGTATGTATGTATATACATACATATATATGATCTATGCTAATATATATAAAACATATGCTTATATATGTATGTATACACACACACACACACACACACATATATATATATATATACATGTATTTATATATAATGTGTGATGAAATCCTGGCATGTGTGAACATTTGCACATGTGCATGAAGTTCTTAGAAGTAGGAGGATCCACAGAGCCTGCACTTTTATTCTTCTGGATGCTATACAAGCACTCTGTACATCAGTTTATACTTTTTAGCATTTACACTTTCACCAATAATCTGTGTGGTCCTCCTGTCCTCCGTATCCTCCTTGACCCAGGAAATCTTCGGACTTAGACATGTTTGCTAGTTTGATATGTGGGAAATTAAGC